TTTTTAAAAATATATAACAAAATTAAATGTGAGTACAAAATTTAATTCTATTAAATTAAACGATAAAAATTGCATTTAAAGCCATTTTTTAATCTATCAAAATTTTTATATGTGATTGCCGACTCATGATTTGATATCATTCATCTAATGATTAAATTAGCAATTCTTTGATATTATTTAGGTTACGCTTTAAAAATTCTAAGAATCTGAAAAATTTTCTTCCACAAATTTCATCCATCAGCCCTTAAGAACTCTCCCATCTCATTATTATGTCTTGTCATATAGCTTTATCATGTAAAACTCAATGTAGATCATCTTTAACACTGAAAAACATCGTTCATCTTCGCCTTCATCTTAAGTGGACTATCAATCAACCATTCCACATAAGTGTTCATTTGTTTCATTTACAATAACCAACAAATCTTTCCTGGATACTCCGCGATAGATGAATAGTCACCATCAAAGCATTAACAAAAAAATGACATGAAAATTTTGTGGCACATAATGTAGCAAACAAGTAGGAAAAGATGCAACTCGTCTCGATATTTTACTACACGTGTTGTTGAATCACCTAAATAGGGGTGCTCAATGATGCTACTCATTTATAATACAATAAACGATTTATATTAACCACATATTGATTATATATTAAATATAACTAACATTGTAAGGATGTCAATCACATTAGATATCCAATCTTCTCCACCTGCTATAATAGTAATCAAATGAACATTAATGCAATACAGCTCAGATAATGTGATAGGTATGCGCCTGCAAATATATCGGAGAAATAACACTATTCAAGCATCGTATGTACGAGATAGAATCTTATACTACCAATATTAATTTTGCTAAGAGGCTCCATATGTACTCAATAACATATTACTAATTAATAGATCATTAGAAATTGACATAAAACTTAAAATAAAATTAAGCTTACTCTATGAACTTCTTGTTTTGATTATATAAATATTCAATTTTATTTAAATCTATAGTTTCTATCAAAATTAAAATAATAATCTTCCACTTTAAAATATAATGGATTTTTCATTTTAAATTATCACTCAATTGATCTCAATTTTAATTTGTATTTTATTTATATAACTCATTATATATTTTAAAACAAATACTTTCAAAGTAAAATAAAAATAAAAAAAATAATATTGAAAATGATTTATATCTTTAAAAAATTAATTTGTAATCGACGACCGGATATACTCTTATTTTTTTTTTAGTATTTATTTTTGTTATTATTAATAATAGGATGCCCGATTTCTAAAATTTCCCCTAAAGAGTTCATCCATAGTCAGCTGCCCTCAGAGATATGGAACCATTTGCTCTGCTGCTCGTCTTCCTTCTCGCTTTCGCGCTTTTATTCCTGAGAAAGCTTCATGGAGGAAACAGAGCAGGGAAAAAGCTGCCTCCAGGTCCATGGAGGTTCCCCATCATCGGCAACCTCCACCAGGTGGGTTCAACGCCTCACCGATCCTTCCTCCGCCTTGCCCAAAAGCACGGCCCCCTCATGTTTCTCCAACTCGGGTTCATCCCAACCCTAGTCGTCTCCTCCGGCGAAACCCTCAAATCCATCTTTAAATCCCACGATATCATCTTCTCCGGCCGGCCTGTTCTCAAAGTAGGAACCAAACTCTCCTTTAACAACTCCAACATCTCCTTCGCCCAGTACGGCGAGAACTGGCGGCAGGCTCGCAAGCTCTGCGTCGTCGAGCTGTTAAGCCCTAGGCGTGTGCGATCATTTCAATCTGTCCGGGAGCAGGAGGTGGAGATGCTGTGCTCCGCTATTACTGATCTATCTTCTTCCAATTCCTCCTCAATCAACTTGAGCGAGATGGTTTTTGCTCTTTCTTACAACGTCCTGTGCCGTGTGGTGTTCGGAGATTTGCTTGGAGGAGGCGCCGGAGTGTACCAAGGAAGGAGGAGTTGGTTTCATGGAACCATGGCGGAGACGCAGAATCTTGTGGCTGGATTCTGTGCTGCGGATTTCTTTCCAGGCTGGGATTGGATCGATGGGATAATTGGCCAGCGGGACAAGGTGGAGAAGAACTTTGGGGAGTTGAATCGGTTTTATGAGAGGGTGATCGAGGAGCATCTCAAGAGTGGGAAGGAGACGGAGACTGATGATGCTTTCGATAAAGAGGACTTGGTGGATGTTTTGCTTAGGCTGCAGGAAGAAGCGCCTGATGGTGGTTTTCTTAGCACCATGGATTACGTCAAGGGGATCATGGGCGGTAACATCTCTATTCTTTTCTCTCCTCTTTTTTATTTTTTCTATTTTTGATTTACTTACATAATAACAGTATAGATTAGTTGATGCTCAATTCTTCATAATTACTCATATAACATTTAAAATATGAAATATCAAAAAAATATTACCCTCCCATTAACTTCCATGTAATGGCAAAGCTTCACATGTCATTGATGCCATCCCAAACTAGCTTCTTGTTGTTGGAAAAATTTTATATTTAGGCTCATATATTTATGCATATAAATTAAATATTATGCATTAGTTGTCATATAAAATTGTGCTAATTAAATTTATGATCTATTTAAGAATTAAATTTTTATTTTACTTATGGGACATCTCAATTAAATTTATATGAAATGAAATATTGTGTAGAGATTAAGTATTTATTTAATTTCAGGTCAATTATATATTTTATTTTAATGATGAGCTAAAATAAAATAAATACAATTAAAGTATAAAAGGGTCGCGATCCTCAGTTTAAACGATTAAATTCTTATTTCTCTCATTTCCTATCTTAAGTGAAGAGAAAGGGCTCCTCTCGCTCTCTTGAAGAACATCGTTTCAAACGTGAAGATAAAAAACATTGATTTTGCATTTCAATGGATTCTTGTATGCTTTAAATTATTTTCTCGATGATTTAATATGTATTTCTGAGGTGATTAAATTATTTTTGTCTCCATTGAATACTAAAAGTTGGGCTTTCTTAGCTGTATTTCATAATTGAATTATTCACATACCACTGAATCTGCTGATGCACATCTCTAGTGAGATATTATCACTACTTCCTCGTCATCTCTCAATGATTTTCACATCTCTTCTTTGTCTTCAAGGTTTTTAGTATTCTAAGCAACTAAAGGTGAAGTAAACAAAATATAATTTTTTAACATTTAATATATAAATATGATAATTTTAAGTATTATAAATGTACATTCTTTTTTTAATACATTTTATCAAAAAAATCGTTATTTGTTCTAATTGAATGCTGGAATATTCGCGGTGCTAAAGTAAGAAAATTTCACGTCTTAGCATTGCACGAGTATCCTGCTCACAAATAAAGAGAATACAAACAATAGAATTTTTACGTGGAAAATCCTGAAGGGAAAAATATTTGGACCACACATAGTTGAAATGAATCTATTAGTACTTGAATAGATTACAAAGATTGATTTGTCATTAAACTTGAAGACGATAAAATTGCAATGGTAAGCTGTTAGGTAGAAATCTAGCAACGAATAGAAGTCGGACAGAAGTCTGGTGATGGTCAGTTGTCGAGCGTAAATCTAGTGTCAGTTGGTAGCAGGGCGGAAGTCCGACGACAGTTGGTGGCCAGGTGGTGGTCGAGGAGGAATCTTATGGCAAGAGCTAGAACTCTTTCATTTCTCTTCATTATCTTCTTTGCTTGGTCCCCTTTTTGTGAAGAATGAGGGGTTTATTTATAGTTTTTAGGGAGCGATATTGCTAGTAAATAAAGAGAGGATCAAGGACATGTTGGGAGTGTTTCGAATGGATGGCCGATACCGACTCCCTATATCATGGACTTCTTATCGAGTATTTAAGTGTCTTAATGATGTCATAATTTGATAACCTTGGGCTCGTTGGATTCGTCTCATCGAGTCATTCGATTCAACTATAAGCATCTTACATTTGGAAATCATTTGGTCGTCCAATTTTATGCTTTGAACCTTGTAAATGTGCTTTGAGCCCTCGATTTGGACCCATTTGGGCTCGGATTGGATTGAATTTGATGTCATTGGGTTCATTTTTTTCGAGACATTCAATTTGACTTTAAATTTGTTGAGATCAGAGTTCAAATGGTCCGTATTTAATTTTGAAAATTTCTAAGTTGAATATTCCTCGTGATTCGTGCCTAATCACAAAAATTATTTGATCACATGAATGATTATTTCTATATTATAGTTAAGTCATAGTTTTTATATATTTACATACATATTAAGACATTTTTATATATTTCTATATTTAATGTTTATATTTTATATTTATTTATTTAACACTTTAGAATATTTATACTTTTATATAAATATATAAAATTATGAAGCGTATATGTAAATCCCTCTTTAACAATGATGAGTGATGAGTAAATCATTAATCGTCCACTACAGAAACTATAATTGTGGTGATGGCGGATTCAGTCCCGTTCCTGCATTAATTGTTAATTTATAATTTTATTAAAAACAGAGGCTGTAGGTATGCCATCAAATTGATATTGTGTATAAAAAAAAAAAAAAAAAAAAAATCCAAAGATGATCTTATTTATTTTTTCTTTTAAAAAGCACTTCCCTGCCACCCTCATGTGAGCTGTAGGTGGCCAAGTCAAAAGCATATTATTATTATTTAATTTTAATGGTATGATATCACCTACATTTATTATTACAGTATCATGTTATTTCTAATTGTTGATGGAGAGGTTTCCGTCGATAACATTTAAAATTATTATTTATTTTTATGACATTTAGTTTTTTAAATAATATGAAAAATATTTCGTTTATCTTTTCGTCATAATGCAGCACGAAAATTTTCATTTCTTTTTCATGTGGCATAGGTCCTATTAATATTCTTCCTCGGGAGATCCTGTCGCGACTCCTTCATGCCTTCTTAGGGGCTATTTGGTAGCAGGATTTAGGCTGCATTTGAGGCGGATTTGAGCGAAATCCAGCCAAACGTCCTAAAATGCAAAACCAAATCTCACATCAAACAAAATCCTCTAAATCCTGGATTTTACAGGCTTTATGAAATCCATGATGCTAGAGGAAGAATCCGCTCAGTAAATCCTGCTTTGTAGTCAAACAGTCACATGAGATTTAAGAGAATTTATCATGAATGTTACCAAACGGTTTTCAGGATTTAAGCCTATCAGGATTTCCGAAATCCGGATTTAGAGGATTTACGAAATCCTACTTAAATCAAATCCAGAATGCTACCAAACAGCCCCTTAGTCCTTCACATGCCATTGATTTCATTTGTGCCCTTCCCCACGAGATTCTATTGTAACTTCCTCGCTTCATTTTCATCTCATTCACACTTCGTTGTTAGCCTCATCAATTTCATTCACAACAAGATCCCATAATGACTTCCTCGCCTCTTTTCATCGTTGAAGTTTTGGTATTTTGAATGGGAGCCAGGGTAAGGGATGAAAGAGTAACGAAGTGTTAGATTATCAAATAGTAAGTTTATTTAAAAGTTAATATGGTTGATTGTAAGTAATATTTATGTTTTAGAAAGTGAAATGAGTTCATTTTGATTCTATTAAAAAATCATTATTTTAAAATAATTTTGATGTTATTTTTGGAGTTCGAACTTATATTATTTTTTGCCTATATTAGACTAAATTATGAAAGTATTAAAATTTATTATTTTTGTTGGATCACACCCAAAAATTTAGTAAGAGTACTGTGCGAATAGAGAAACTAAAGGAGAAAAAAATTCCATGTGGAGCTTTAGATTTCCTTAAATAGGCTTGAATTTCAAAGATTGCATAACCTTTATTTATAAGTTTAGGCAAGGATTTGGGACGCCATAGGATTGGCTATATATTCAATTATCAAATAAGGATAAGGCTAAGGAGTTTTGTAGCCAACTATGCACGTGCATATTAGCTTATAAGTTATAACCACTTAATATCATACTTTCATGCCAACTTGAGGAGAAATTATTATGTGCGGAGGCTGGACATACCTCTACGACCGGAGGAGAATCAGGTGCAACCACGTCAGCAGTGTCGAGCAGTGCCGAGCCGCGGTACATAGCGAAGGGGTGACGTGGCGTATTCTGATTGGTCTCCGAACGACATTTGACATCCACACAGAATATTTTTTCCAACCTGAGAGAGTTGTCAATGTAACTTGAGGGATTCACTTGTTTCGACGAGTTCTTTGGAAGCTTTGGCGAACCTGCTTGGAGTTAGATGGTCTTCACATGAGCAAGTTCTACTTCACCGGGTCTACAGATGTTTGACCGTACAAGTTTATAATTAAAAAGCAGCCAAGTGAGCCCTAAGGTATGAAGCTAGGAACTTAAGTGAGTTGTATTTGTTATTATTCTCTTATTCTTCTCATACAAGTTATAAATTGAGTGCAAAGTTTAAGATTTCCTTCAAAAGATATTTGACATCAGTACTAAAGTATATTTTTGGCCATAAGAAATGTAATAACGGTTAATTTCGTGTGGAGTCTCATTATATCGATCAAAGAGGTTGTACGGTTGACTACGATTTCAATTTTGTTAGTCGAGCTCGTCAGAGGTTTCCCTTAGTTTGGGTCGGGGGCAAATTTTTTCCCGTACGACCGTACAACGTTGCAACGCTTTATGCTCGAGTTGCATTCTTTAGTTGGAGACTGAGAGCAACGCACCGAGGCGCTCCAAACGCTGGTGTTGTCACAGGTTGGAGATAGAGAGTAGAGCACCGCAGCGCTCCAAACCTTTGCACGACAGCGTTGTGAGTCGGGCTAAACAGTTTTTCATGTTTAACTTGAAGGTTTGCCCCTTGGAATGGTAATTTGTGTCTCTTTGTCAATTACGTATGAGAATGATATAAGGTGTGAGAGAAATAAGGAGAGAGGGAGAGAAAAGAGTCATGCATAATTACTTCAATTTTCATAGCGAATTTCTTGGTGTGGTATGATTCCGTGATTTTTTTCTCGATAGAGTTTTTCCACGTTAAATCCTGATGTTCTTTCTTTTCGGTTACATTTTTCTCTGTCTTGTTTGTGTTCATTGTGTGGCTTTATTCCCAATGACGACATGCAAGAACAATGAAGGATTGTTAGAGAGCTTTCTCTTCAATAAAAAGCTCCATATTTGAAGCACACACTACCCTGTAAATCACTCACAAACCCAAATAAGATAAAAACATTAATATAAAGATTAGAGATTATAGACCTTGAGCAAATTCTAAATGGTTTAAAAACCTTTTCTCATTTAGAGAATTGCTCAACAAATCCTCCCTCATTTAACCCAATTTTCCATATTTGTTATTATGATTTAAAGACCATTTTCTTATTACTAATAAAAAATATAAATTATAATATAGCAAAATAAGAGGCTAAAAATATGTGATCTCTCAAGGGGTCTAAATGGATTGTTTCTAAAAATGCAAATTAGTAAGAAATATGATATATAAGTTTAAGATTATTAATTACCCTTAATAATGATCCTTATGATTATACTTCCTATTTTTTTAGAGGAGAAAGAAAATCATCTTCGTAATACTGCTCGTTTCTTCTAGATGTGTTCTTCGCTGGAACTGATACATCCTCAGCAACAATTATATGGACGATGACAGAGCTAATGAAAAATCCAAGGGTAATGACTAAATTACAACATGAGGTACAAGATGCCGCCATTTTCAACAAAACTAAGGTTGAAGAAAGCGAGCTCCAACAACTAAATTACCTCAAGCTCGTCATCAAAGAATCACTTAGATTACACCCTCCAGCCCCGCTCCTAGTTCCTCGCGAAACCCTCGAATCATGCAATGTAGAAGGCTATGACATTCCATCCAAGACCCGAGTTTTTATTAACGCCGCCGCCATTGCGACAGATCCTAAAACTTGGGAGAACCCTAATGAGTTTTGGCCTGAGAGATTCACTTTGAGTGGCACAGATTTGAAAGGGCAAGACTTCAATTATGTGCCTTTTGGAATTGGTCGCAGGAGTTGCCCAGGGGTTGATTTTGCTGCGGTTCTTGTGGAGCTTGTTTTAGCTAATCTCTTGCATTGTTTTGAATGGAGCTTGCCTGATGGAATGAAACCTGAAGATATTGACATGGGTGAGGCTTGTGGTCTTACAATTCATAAAAAAGTGCCTCTTTGCATGGTTGCTAAGCCAAAGATGCACTGAATTGTAGTCATTGAAAAGTGATTGTGGTGGATGATAAGGTTTGTGTGCTTGTAAGTGATTTTGATTGCTATTTGGGACATCTATAATGTAGTTTTTTTTTCTTTTTTTTCTATAACTTATATGTCAAATTAGGTGATCGAAAATTAAATAATGAGAATTTTGGTTTTGTGTGGAACAAATTTCTAAAATAGGGTTTTCGTACAAAAATTTGTAGTTCAAAAAAATTTTGTATTAAAAATTGCTTTAGAAAATAGTAAGAAAGCTATCCCAAATAAAACCTTAGGTTTCGTTTATTATTTTTTAAAGCAGCTTCATAGTTTAAAAATTAAATTTTTTATACTAAAAAACTGCTTTAAAAAACATAAAAAAATTGTCCCAAATGAAACGTTAGTTTTATAATTTTACTTTTTTGTTTGAATAATGATTAAAAGTTTTATTATTAGTTACTTTTTCTCTTAAAATGTGAGTGCAGATGTTTTTTGTCTTTTTTTGGTGATAGTAACTATTAGTTGTGAGGTCAAAAGAATTCATTATTATTTTAGCTTTCCTTTGGGAAAATATTATAGCTACATTCACATTCACAGTAGTAATATTTTCAATGAATTTGTTAGTATAGCTGAAATTTATAATTATGATAATAATGGATGTTGGTAGGGGATGTTATTGTATTAACTATAGTTATTATTTTTTTTTTCAAATTTTTAAATAACTTAGAAAGAATTATCTTTAAGAAAATAACTCTAGCTTGCAATTAATTTCTTAATTTTTTTGTTTTTTCCATTTTTAAGAAATTAATTACTTTTTAATAATCTTATAATGCAAATATATATATATATATATACAAACAATTTTGTGAATACCTTCCTAATTTTGGCTATTTATAAAGTTAATATTCGTATATTCATTTCTCAAGTCTCTTATAAACATTAAAATTCACAATAAAATCTTCATATTTATTTTTTTTATTTAGTTAAAGTCGAGCATTACGTGTAAATTTATTTATTTTAATGGGTGATAATTTATAAATAAGATAAATTTTAATTGTACACTATAACTCAACTTATAAACAACTATATATTGAAGGCATCACATATCTCTCCTACTCTTAAATGTCTTGCGCCAATTAAGATTCTTTTCTCTGTAAGTGGATGCATTATTAACAGCTTAATGAAATAGTCTTCCACACTGATATTGTTGAGAAATTATAGGGTTCATATTGCTTGCAGAATAAGGTAAGTGTTATTGTTATATGTGTGTGCATATGACTATTATTAGATATGTATGCTAATGTACACAACTTTTTGCACACTAATTTAGTGTGTGTAGTTGTTTGCACACTAATTATTTTAGGATAAGTTAAACATCAATCCTAGTAAACTAGAAATCTTAGCCATAAAGCTTTGAAGATCATACCTCTTTAAGCTAATTAATTGCACCGTGCCCGAATCGTAGATTGTTTTGGAATATATATGCTCGTCTTAGCTAATCCTAGTCAATCTCGAAATTCATAGATTATATTAGACCAGAATATTCTTTGAGCGAGCTTCATATTGCCTTGAAATCAATAGATTAGTCATATGTAACCATAGTAAATCTTAGAAGACATATACTAGACTTGAAGTTAAAAGGCTAAGTTGGGCTCAATAAGATGAGTAAACTCATGATTGATTAGATAAATTAGCTAGAACGATGTTGTGTTAATTATAACTACAGTAGGTCAATCATGATTGTACATACATGCATATCAATTTAATATTGAGATGGCTCAATTGGATCTCAACCCGACTCATTTATAATTCAATATGAGTCAAACAAGACTTACTGATTTCACTCTTCAGCTTAATTCTAGCAAAATAATAATATTATCTTCTTAATAATCTTTGATCTTTGAGTTAACTTATATTCCTAATTAGGAAATAAAAAAAAAACATTCCTATGCGTTTATAGGGCACCAAGTAGGTGAAAATCCTATTGAAACTTTCTCTCTGTGATTATTAGAGAAGTTTTTTAGATTACTTTTGTTTCTCTATATGGGCATTGAAGCTCTAATTGTCATGCATTCTTTAATATTTTAGGATTTTTTTATTTATAATGTTAGTAGAAAGCTTTAGTTCATGAGTATATTTTTGTTATAGTCGATTTAATAGAATCTAGACTTCCTCAAAGCTACATGGGCATGCCCTTGCCATAGAGCTCTCTACATTTGACTAGTGGCAATTCATTTGGGGAAAACATATTGCAAACATCATTAATTGCCTATGAAATAACATTTTTTTATTAGGTTAGTATGTTTGTTCAACCTTCTTTGGGACATGGATAAATCATAATGTTTGTCCAACCGCCGAGTTGTAGATCCTGTCATAAATCAAAATGAATTTCATCTATCAATTAAATACTATGCAATTTTAAAGTAATTTTGAGTGAAAATTACATGAAAATTTCTAATTATTTTGACTAAAAAAATGGTGCAATTTGACAAAAAGATTGTAACATGCTAGAAATTTTGTGATGATAAAGAGAGTTTTATATTCTAGTTAAGACGAAAATTCATTACATATACCTTACATAAAGAACCTTGAAAAGAAAAAAACTTACCAGACCTAGACACCTGGACTAACTGAAATAATACACTATATACTTGAATTTACGTAAGTTTGCTCTTCTCTACAATTAGTGAAGAAGAGATTACAAGATTGTGACTATTTGCTTGGTCTTCTATATTTGTAGTAGAAATTATGGAAAAAGGGGTAAAAGAATGATGATAGTAGTTGGATGATGTTGGTCAGGCAGCGGTGGTTGGACGATGGTTGTTAGGTGACATCAGTTGAATGATAGTGAATTGATTATGGCGGTTGGACTACGGTAGTAAGATATCGAAGGTTGGTTGGCATTGGTTGAACATCGATAGTCCGGTGATAATGTTCTAGTGATGGTGATGGCTTGCAGTAATAGAATATCGAGTAAAGCTCTAAAGTTTTTCAGATCTCCAAGCTCTCTCCAAACTCAAGCATGTTTATTTGTGTTATTTTTAAAGTGACATTTTGATAATTTTGATCAAAATTTCAAAACACTTTATTGCGTGACTCATATTAAGTCATTTGATTATAGATCATTTTTTAATATTTAAATGCTTTAATGAACTCAAAATTGAGTGTTCTTAGACTTGTTGGATTTGTCTCATCGAGCCGCTCAATTTGATTATAAGCATGTAAGATTTGGAGAATATTTGACTTTTTAATTGATGTCTAAAATTTATGCTTCCAAAGCTTGATTTGAGTTCATTTGGACTACAATAAGATCAATTTTGATATTTGTTGGGTTCACCTTTTTGAGACATTCATTTCAATTTTTAAATTCACTGAAAATCGAAGTTTAGATGGTCTTGAGTTTCTCTAAAATTGCCTATACATAAAATGCATCAAAATTCATGTTGATAGCATGATTTTTTTTAGGCATATCTAGGCATATCAAGAATTAATCTCAAAATCATTTATTTTTATTTTAAAATGAAAAAACAACAAAATTAAAATTTATATTACTTTAACATCAAAATAATATAATAAATTCTAAATAAAAAAATGAGTAACTCAAGCCAAATATTTCATTATTTCCAACTTTATAATACATTAATCTCAAAATTAATATAATAAACAAAAATTTAATCATAACAAAAAATTTAATCACAATATTCTTCTTTAATTTTTTTTTCCCATAACATCTCCATCCGCCTAAAGTGCAATGGTTCCGACACAACGCAACATGCCCGCCTTTTCCGGGCAGTTACCCATCGAGCCTCGGCCACGCGCTGAACGCTGGCACGAGACCAACATCCGATCTGATCGACCAGCGCGCGCTCCACCGTACATCATCGAGATTTCGTATTTTGAACGGTCTGGATCATCTTCAAAGGCAAGCTAATTTTCTGGGATATTCTGAGTTTCGGCTCACCGCGGGCTGATAAGGAAGAAAAAAAAAATATATATAAATTAATGTGTTTTTTTCCCATAAATATTTTTTCTTATTTTTCTACGTACGGACGAAATATCCCTCGGCCGCTACTCGTCCGGGAGAAGAGAAAGAAAGGAAAATTCTGTTGGGAGAGCGAGTCGGAAAGGATTCGGTTTCGATTTTTCGGGTGCGGGACCCGGCGACCGCGAGTGAATCGGTGAAGGCGGCGGCGGCGGCGGCGGCGGTGGCGATGGTGCCGGCGAGCGGAGGATATTAGATGAAGGGGATAGGGTTTGGGTTTGGAGGAGGAGGAAGGGGAGAAATGGAGGAGAGCGAGCCCGAGGAAGGGGAGGCGCGCTCGGGAAAGGAGGAAGAGGCCTGCATCGATCCAGACGTCGATCTTTCGTATATTGTAAGCCAACTCTGTTTCCATCTTATACTCTTCAGGAAGCTTTGGTTTTGAGGAATGCTTGGTTTGGTGATGACGTGAATTTGTTCGTTTGCGTTTGTGGTGTTGAGAAAGACTAGTTGTTTCTTTCTGGTCTATTTTGTCTGAGTTTGCTGTGCGTCGTTGCGAGATGGATAAATTTTAGGAACGTCGTCTTTTCCATTAGACTCCTGATTTAGTGCTTTTGATTTAGGCGATAAATCAATCGGCATTTGGCAGCTTTTTTTTTTTTTCTAACTTAAAAAGAGAAGTGGTAATTCCTCTTTGGATCTTTGGTTTCCTATTGTGCGTTAAAGGAAATTGAATTGCTGTATTTTTTTTTTCGTTTTTTTTTTGTTCGATTTTCTTTTTGAATATAAGTAAATTAACTTATACGCACTGACAAGCCTATTATCGCATTATGAAATAGAAATTATTGTTTGTTTTACTTGGGATTCCTGTGACTCAATAGCCTGGATATGTCTTAGGCAAATTTCTTTGTCTTCATTTTATGTTTATTATCTCAATTCTCAAACCTAAAAAAGATCCTCGTAATGATGAGATGATTATTGTCTTAAGATTTTGCATTTGGACTTATTACAAACATCTTGCGGATAGTGTGTGTGCGTGGTTTAATCAATTGTTCGTGACATCAAGTCTTTTACCTTTTACCTTAATTGGTAATAATTTTTGGCTACTTCTCTTTACCAAAGTCTGACATATTACAATTTTGATTTTTGTGAAAAAGTTGTCTGAAAGTACCTTATTTATGGCTTCATTATCATTGGCATTGTACTTAAAGAGTATCTTGTACATTTCCGTGAGACAAGGGCGACTATATTCTGTACCAAATAACATAGCTTAACAACACAACATTACGAAAAGAAGCCTTACTATAGATGTTCATTTATAAAGACATAGATACGTCAATCAGAGATCATACATTTGGTTTTTATAATTTTTGAACTGAGGAGTCTCTGCCTTTTCATAGGCTTCTCTAACTTGTTATTCTATGAATGCTTTTTTGTTTAACAGAATACACCCCTATGGCAATACAATTAGTGTTTCTGTGGACTTTATTTATTGCAGGATGAGAGACTCCAGGATGTCTTGGGTCATCTTCAGAGAGAATTTGAATGTGGAGTTTCTGTAGAGAACTTGGGTGAGGCTTGCTTTGCTGAAATTGTCTTTTAAGTTGTGTATGACATCATAATCAGTGGTGATGTTGTGTATAACTGATTTTAGGGGCAAAGTTTGGTGGATATGGTTCATTCTTGCCTGCTTACAAGCGTTCTCCTTCCATGTTGTTTCAACCTGGAAGCCCACCAAAGGACCCTGGTGGCACTGTTGTCAGATCTCTTCATGGTTCATCGTTTGAGGTACAAACTTACTTTTAAATATGATGGAAATATCTTTTAAATGTGACGGATTGCATTTTTATTTTCTTAAGAGGACTAGCTTATGAATCAAAATATAATAATTATAGATCTATAAATACAGGGTGCATGCAATGACTCATCGATTCAAACTGACGCATCTATCTCCAAAAAGTCTTCAACTTCAATTAAAAATTTGGATTTGGGAGATTCAGCTAGAAAGGATGTTTCCACAACTGCAACTACAACTGGAAATCATATTGAAGATAATGGCTCGATCAATAAAGGAACCAAAGGTGCTATCCAGAGTACTTTGAAGGTTCGCATAAAAGTAGGACCAGATAACAACTCTGCTAGAAATAATGCTGCCATCTACAGTGGCCTGGGTCTTGAGTTCTCACCATCCTCATCCTTAGAGGACAGCCCAGAAGGAATCAAGGATATTCTTGAAGATGGTATAACCAATGCATCTCCTAGGGCCATTCTCCAGGTAAATTCCCAGCATAAATGTTCCATTGGGAAATTTGGAAAACACTGATTGTAAACGGATCCTTTCTAATGGGTTATTGATTTTCTATGTGATAAAGCAGATTATGACAGGCTTTCTGATTTCGGAGGGTTGTTTTCTCTCTCCCCTACAAGAAAATCTACTGAGGTTGACAATAGCAGGGAACCACTTAAGTGGACATCGTAAAGGGGATTTTCCTGTTAAGAGCATTCCTGAGTCAATTTCTATTTCAGGTCAGTTGAATTCACCTCTAAGAAGCACGGAGAGCTGCAGAGAGACTGCCATGAAGCTTCTTCCAAAAAATATACAAATTGGAGGAAATAAATCCAAGCTGAATAATGATAAGATTCTGGAGAAGAAAGACAATGTTGAAACACCGGAAGGCCAGGATCTTACTTTTCAAACCTCAAGTAGCCCTCTTCTGTTAAATTCTGGGACTGCTGAATCTGAAATAAGGGTCAGAGAAATTGCTTCTAAAATTCAGGAAGACTCTGTCAAAGGCACTAAGAAGACCTTTGTTCAGCATACTGAATCAAGTAGAATGTCGCTGAATGACCACACTTTTCATTCCAGTCTAGGCAATAGGAACTCACCCGAATCAAAAAGAAGCATAGAAAGTGATGGCAATGTTGATTTAAAAGAAAAAGCTATTTCTATTAAAGTGAAGCCTAGCCCTAGAATAAATTTGACTAGGGGTGAGTCTCTTTCTTTCTTGCAGAAAGAATGCATGGTCGAACCTGAAAATGGTATCAATTTAAATGAAGTAGAAATTGGTGGACCTAAAATTTACAAAGATCATGTTTTTGGAACTAATGAATTCAATAATGCTCAGAAGACAGAAAAACTCTCTGAAATCAAAGGAAAATTGAAAGCGACTGCTGCAAATGCTACATCAGTAACTGATCCCCAAAAAGAGACCATGGTTTCTTTTTCTTTGTTGTCAGGAAAAGAAGAAAAGAAGTTATTTGCAAGGGGTGGTACTGCTGAAGATAAATCCAAACGATCCAAATCATCCAAGGAATCACTTCATGACTATCCCAAACAGTTACAAAGAGAGATTGCCTGTGAAGGAATGGGTGAGCTAGTGGCTGATAGAAGGGAGCATATTGGTAAGAATAGAAGAAGGAATATTAAGATAGCAAAGAAAAAGTCCAAGGTGAGGTCATTTGATAAAAAGTCCGGTGCTCTTTCAAGTTTTGAAGTACCTATAGAGACACGCACAGATGCTCTGATTACTGATCCCTCGGCTACAGATCCAGCTGTTGCGGCTGGCCCTATTGTAATTAAGGATAATTGGGCCTGCTGTGATATTTGTGAAAAATGGCGCCTTTTACCAAATGGGACAAATCCTGATGATTTACCGAAGAAGTGGACATGCAGTATGCAGTTTTGGCTGTGAGTTTTTCCAATGTTTAGTTTGCTTGAATTCATAATATTTAGGCCTATATTTTATTTATATGCTTGGAACATATTTGGATAAATAGGCTTCAGGTTTGAATTTGATCTTTAGAAGTACGCTCCAATATTTTCCTTGCAGCATTTATAACTTTTCAGAAAGATTTTCCTTTTGAGCGCTTCTACTAAATGAAGTAGTTGAAGAGGGAAATTCGAGTGAAGTTGTGATGAGAAGAAGATGAATGGAAGAACATGGAAATAGAGAATAGAAAAGAGCAGGAAGAAGAGATGCACCGTCACCTTGGAGCATAGGCAATTAAATATTTTCATTCATCATACATAATTCCTATTGCAACTTGCAAGAGTAGAGTTTATTATATAGGCTCAAAGTTGATAATACTTGTCTAAAATATTTCAAGGCTAATAAAAAAAAGAAATAATTTTTTTTATTATAAATATGAACCGTGATTTAAAATCTATGAGATTTATTTAATAATATCACCAACATAACTATTTGTCCAACATCATTCACTTAGGCCTAAAGAAACTATTCTCTGAAGAGTTGGAAGGGGTTCATGCTAATGGTGGAGATCGAAGCGGCTTATGCACATGTTTGTAATAAGTAGGAGAGGATTACACTTAAAGCAGATGTAGAAAGGCCAATGATTGTTGCAGTGGACCATTCTAAGTCGGAATTATGTGGGATTATTGGGTACATCTTGGCATGTTCAGAGAGTGTGAATGTGAGTGGGTTGAATTACTAGCGTCCAAAGACATGGAGCCATTATGATGCAAAAGGCAATACGATGGAAACCTACGAAGCATGCGAAGGTGAGTAGTGACAAGCATCGATTATTACTGCAACGATAGAGGCAATGGATAGCGTTCAAGCATGAAGAAATATCTCACATGGTGACCAAATAAAGTGTTGAGGCTAGTAGACGGTGGATTGCAGGTGGATGGTGTTGTTTTTTTTTTAATAATAAAAAAATAGAAAATAAAATTTAAAATAAAAAAAAAACAGATGGCAATGCAAATTTCCCATTGAACGCAATGGGCATGTGATGCATTGGCAAGGGGTTTGGTTGTAGACATGGACGCTGAAGTGTAAGTGCCGGAGTTGGTTGAGTGTAAAAGCAAAGGGAAAGGATATATGCATGCACAGAGGAGGCGAAGTTTACATACAGGTGGCTAATGTAAATGAATTCAAGTAGGGAGTAAGGCATATATCATAGGAATGAAATTATAACTGCTCTGATGTCATGGAGGCCTATAGAGTGATCGCGGGGGTAGTATCAATAGTTTAGTAAAGGGATCTGGATTGCAATTTGATGGAGGGGATGAGGCATCAACGATGATATCAATTCGCGTGAGGAACTATAATTGGGACTTTATTGCAGGCGGATCACTATGCAACATGATTTGGAGATGGTTTTATACATAGGGATTGGTCACATGAGATAGCATCAACATATGTTGATGCAAAAGGATACTAAGAATATGATTTTTTGTTCTAATACTAAATGATATAGATAAAAAAGGGGGATTAGAGAAAAAGAAGAATAAAACAACATAGAATAAGAAAAAAAAAGTGCTAGAAGAAGTGAAGTAGCCGCAACTTGGAGAGTAGGAAATCAAATATTTTAATTCATCAGACATAATTCCTATTAAAAGAATGAATCCTTTAAGCTAATAATACTTGCCTAAAATTTGTTAAGGCTGATACGAAAAGAAGTCATGTTGTTATTACAAATATGAACCATGTTTAAAATTTTGGACATTTTTTTAATACAAATACTACCATAATTATATTTATTCTGCATCACTAATGTTACAGTAAATTATTTTCTAGGCCTGTTGGAATGAACCATTGTCACATCAGCGAAGATGAAACAACAAATATTATGAATCCACAATGCAGTAGTTCTCTCCTTGACAACAATTCTATTCTTGGCTACTCTGTTCCATCAACATCTTCGGCCACTGTTCATGGTATTAATCTCATTAGCGAACTTATCATGCTAGCTATTTTGAAGAAAAATAATGTAATGAAACATTTATCATTAGCACCTGATCATTCAGTTCATTATCAGTTTGCTTGCTGTGCTAATAAGGATAAAATGTCTTTTGTGAATTTTAATGCAGTAAATCAAGTGACCAATCAGATAGGTTCAATAATTGACACAAACTACAATCAGGTGAAAAGGCTAAGTGATACTTCCATGGAAACGCAGAAAGAAAAGCTCAAGGGGATGGGAAAAAGTCTTCAGTGCTCTTCAAATGGAGGTAGTGGTATAGCAAGGAATATCATTTAGCTTCATCAATGTTTGTTGGCTTTCATCTGGTGTTCCTTTCCTATAAAGTTAACAGATGAATGCTGGAAAAATGTTTGATTTATATAATTTCATTTTATTCATTGTAATTGCTTTGCAGTTGATATTAGACCAGGCAAGGATTCAAAATTGATAAGCAAGGGATTGATCAATTCAGACATTTCCAGGGATAAGAAGATTACAGGTCCCGATGGCTTCCATCTTCTCAACAAAGGTGGGAAATTAAGCCCTAATTTAACTGCAGAAGTAGCTCCCTACTTTTCGAGTGGTTCCTCTGCTACTGATTTAACTGGGAAGCAGAGTGGGGAAATTGGAGATAAATTTTTGAGTAACTCGATGAGGGACTTAAAGAGCAGTTGTTCCTCACATAATGGGACAATGAAGACACATCTACGTGTTAATATTGGGCAACAATTTAAACAAGCTGGTGCCATGGATGCTCGAATGTCTGATAACTCTGTAATTCCTGTTAAGAAGAGGAAAGCAAGAGAGTGGCATGACATCCAGAATAATCAAGAAACTGCAACGAGAAGAAAGAATCTGGGTGAAAAGAGGGTCATTCTTGCGGAAGATAACAGCGGAAGTGTGGAAAAGAAGGAAAATAAGGGCCATGCATCAAACTATACAGTAGAAGAGAATAGGAGTAAAATGACTCGTGCATTTGGTAATTCAGATGATAAAACCAGAAGAACTTCTAGAACTGGGGAACTGTTTATTGATGGGATGGTGGATAATCAAGTTGCTACCGTACAACGTTCAGCTGGAGGTAACTCAAGTTCTTTAAAATTGTCTAGTTCAGGTTGGAATAAAGCTAATTTCCAGGAATCACGAGGTTCTCTTCAAGAATCTGCTTCTTTATCTCCTTATAGGGCTCATAGTTCTGAGAAGCATTCTAAAATACAAAAATCTGTTGTTAAGACTGATTCTAAAAATTTAGGAGCATCTGCCATTAAAAAATCAAATAGATGTTTGGATGGGGAAGTTGATGGTAATATGAGCCAGCGCTTGAAAAGGAAGCAAAAAGGTTCTTTAAGCCAGCAAACATCACCAGGAAGCTATCTGGCTTCTAAATCGAGGGCTTTGAGTTCTTCGGATGGGGCTTGCAATGATCATGTTAAGGAATCATTTATCCCAGATGGTGCCAAAGAAAAAGGTGGAATACCTTCAAGTATGCTTTGTTGCGGTGTTAGGGGTAGTCTCCTGCCCAATGAAGTTGGTGGAATGAATGTGGTAAGCTCTGTGTCAACCATTCATGACCATCATGACAAACACCTTATTGAAAACCCTGATAAAAAGCCATTCCAAAATCAAGATAAATTGAATGATTCCGCTGGGAATGTAGAAGATATTGATAGTAGTCATTGTGGAGAAAGGACCGTGATATCTGAGTCAAGTAAGAGATTATGCTTGAGGGATACAAACAACACATCTGAATGTGAATTCAATAAAGGTAAGATGAAGATATCAAAAGTTTTTTCTGAACAAGAGGAACTTCATTCTTTGAGGAATGACAAGCAAGGCACTCCAAATCAAGGTCCTCGTTTGTTGTCAAGCGTGAAAGCAGAAGAGTTAGAAGTTTATCCTACTAGCGAAACAGTGAGTGGTTTGCTGGAATTGGACAAACTGGCAGAGGCTTCCGATAACGGGAATGTTGCACGACATAGTAGTTTGAGGCGTGAAAAATGTAATGAGCTTGTTGGCCAGCGCCCTTTGGGAAAATGTGCAGCATCAAATGCAGCTCTTGTGGCTATGAAAGATGCCAAAGAATTGAAGCATGCAGCAGACCGAAAGAAGGTTAGCTTGATTCCTGCAATATATTATTTGTTAAACTTGAACTTGTAATTTATCTTAAATTTCCTATACTAGGAAAGGCGTATTTTCTTTCTGTGAATGCTAACAGCTTATCAAAGTTTGAACCTTTACACAGAATTTAGGACAAGAACTTGAAGGGACTGCTCTCTACTTTCAGGCAGCCTTGAAATTTTTGCAAGCTGCTTTTCTTTCAGAGCCATCCAGTGTTGTTAACATCAAGTATGAGGAATTAGATGAATCATTGAAAACTTACACTCAGACAGCTGCCTTATGCGAGTAAGTTGGTTAACCGCAGAAAGTTAATTTGATTGATATTAATGCTGATACTTTTCGAAATGTTTGTGAATTTGCAAGCAATTTACTTTCCCTTATGGATGGCCCTTCTACTGAAATACCTTCTACGTGACTGTAATCTTAACCGTAGCAGAACTTAGTGGAACTATGGTGGCAATTTGTTTTGCTCGCTAGCATTTTTGTATTTTTGAGAGTGATAGAAGGAACATTACGGAAGTCAGCAACCTGAAAACACCGCTTCCTTTTATGCATTTGTGTTCTTTTTTTTTACCTGGCGTGTAATAAATATGAAAACAATTTCGAGTGCATTGCGATATCATCATTACTATATACTCACATTGTCTTTTGATAACGTAATGATGTAAACTTGAAGGAACTTTGGTATTCGGGTAGGAGTCGTACTAGAAATGGTGTAGGTGTTATTATAGATAAGAGTTTAAAGGATAATGTTCTAAAAATTAATAGGATTGAAGATAGAATTATAGCTTTAAATTGTTGTTGATGACAAGATTGTTAATATTATAAGTGTTTATGCTTCTCAAGTATGTTTGGATATGAGTTCTAAATTAAATTTTTGAAATGACTTAGAAGAATTAATACAAAAGATACCTCTTGAAGAAAGAGTTTTTATTGGAGGAGATTTAAATGGACATGTTGGTAAAGAGGTAGATGATTTTAAAAGCATTCATGGTGGTCATGGATTTGGAACGACGAATGAAGGTGGCAAGACCATATTAGATTTTTGTTTAGCTTATGATTTTTCAATTGCTAATACCTTATTTAAGAAAAGGAATGAGCATCTCATCACTTATAAAAAATGGATATAGTACAACCAAATTGACTATTTTCTTACTAGAAAATTAAATCGTTTAGATTGCAAAGATTGTAAAATTATTCCGAGTGAAAATTTATGTACCCAACATCGATTATTAGTTTTGGACTTTAAGATAAAGGGGCATAAAATAAAAAATAAAGTAAAACAATTTTCTAGGATTAAATGGGGGCATTTAAAGAATATTAAAAAAAATATTTTTGAAAATAAGA